GTTGGAAGCCTATAAATATACTGCCGCCAACAAATGAATAATAATGGACATATAAGGAAGTGATAGAGGTATGGAAAAAACTAGCAGGCAGGCCATCTATCGCGGTCTAATGGCCGAGATATTCATCACAATGAAGCTGATAGTGAGGAGGCATATTGAGCAGGATAGCTGGACACATTGTTCTTAAGAGACTAGGTAGCGTTTAATTAAAAGAAGTATGCGCTTGTTGCCGGAGTGACATCGCCCCTAGACTAGATAGAGTTTTGTGCAAGCTGACGAGATGGATGATAGTGGTACTATCTTTTTTTTGATGAAGATACGCTTCCACTGTCGTTAATCCGTCCCTGCGCATGCGCCCATTCCACCAGGAGAATGATGATGGGACATTACGCGGATACGCGAATTGAATAACGCAATTAGATTTAAATATTTTAATTGCAGTCGAGTGCAGAAATTCCTCGGGCGATTCTGACGGAACGATGCGGCCTGGCATTCGACCGACATGCATGGCGCCATACGTAATCGACTGGCGATGTCCACTAGGCCAATATCTCAGGATTCTAAGCTGCTTTTCGTACGATTGTCACCAGATGCCACACATATACCAGGTGGATTATATTACAGTTGATGCTTGTCCAATGGCGTACCTGAGAGCATTCGGCTGATATTAATGGCGCAGTACCTACTCGACTAGCGTTGCCCACTATACCCCATTCGTAGTTCATTTACGCCCAGACAAAACACAACATGCCAGAAAGCGAGACTGTACAGGTCCGTATTTTTCTCAATGGTCTTGGAGCTACCAAATTAAAGATTATTTTTATAGACAAAAGTGCACATTCTTTAATCACTTTTCACACAATTCTTCATTCGCTGGAAGTACGTGAATCATCGCCTTAATGGTTAATAGGAATTATTACAGATTCAGTTAGAATATCGATCATATTGCCCAGATCCCACATATTTGTTTCAGTTGTCACTTGAACGTGACGGATGCAATCTTTCTAATGGTTTGCCGTCACTCTGTTGACAGCTTCATAGAACAAATTTTTCACGTCAGAAAATTTGAATGTTCTATTGTTTGAAGCCACACAGTTTTTATATTTGCCCAAATCATTTCAATGGGATTTAATTCGTAGTGATAAGGTGGTAGCTTTAAAACGGTCTTATTTGTGCTGCCTGACTAGATGGATAAATTCTGTTTTGACCATATTTTCATTGAAACTGACGTCTTTTGATAGGAGCCATTGTTGAATTTCTGCCTTTCTTGTGAACATTGTGGGAATTTTTTCTAGTTTTCTAGTTGGTATGCAGCATTATCAAGTAAAATGACGGCATTGTCGTCAAGCTTTGGGAGCTTTTCTTCAAACCATCGTTCAAATAAACTTCCGTCCATTTTTTCATGGCAGTCGATCGTTTTCTTGGACTCAAATGCCCATAGGGCAGTGGGTACAAAGCCATCTTTACTGCCGATGTGACAGATAACAAATAATAATACAAGCAGAGTATCTAACAGGTGATGGTTCCAAATCTACCAGATATAGCTAAGATATGTTTTGGACCTTGTTACTGAATTTACTCAAACTGGATCTGTTGCAAACAAGAAAAGGTGATCATTGGAGAGTTTTTGGATGAAGCCGCGATATGATAATACCATTCAGGTAAAGAATATCTGCTACAGTGATGAATGCACATTTTATCTAAATGGATTTGTTAATAAGCATAATTAGATATTGGAGCAATGAAAATCCTTATCCTTTAGTAGAAGGGCATACCCTGTACCCCCAAAAAATTAATGTATGGGCAGGCATTTTAGGAACAGTAATTGGGCCATTGTTTATAAATGGAAATTTGAATAGAGGCATTTATTTGGATATGCTGGAAAATACCATCAATCCACTTATCACTGGAACCATTGAAAACAAATTTGAGGATGATAACCATAAACTTGATGAGGCTAAAATATATTTCCAGCAAGACGGCGCTCCTCCTCACTCTGTTCTTCCGGTTCGGTAATGGCTACACGACGAGTTTCCAGATAAATGGATAGGGCAAAGAGGGCCTACAGAATGGCCTGCTAGATCTCCCGTTTTTGACGCCATTAGACAGTTTGGATGAACTTCTCAACGCATCATCGAAAGCTGCCATGATATCCCACATGTTTTTGAAAATGTCCGCCAGAAATTTGAACATCGCCTGTATCATTGTTTGGCCAATAACGGGCAACAGTTTGAACACGTATTGAAATAAAAACTGATATTTTCGTGTTTTTCTTTTCTATCTGAACAAATTAAGATAAGCAAAGATTTTTATAATTTTCTTGAAAGCGAATCGACCGATATTAAAAAATGGAACGTCAAAATAAGACTTCGAAAGACCTTTCAAACAAGCTATTGCACGATACCCCGTGTCATTTAAAATGCTTAAGGAGATATCCTGGGGGCAGAGGGTGAAGTAGTTTTTAGTTAAAAAGTTGTCCCGCTTGACAAATATTTTGACGTGTATCGGCGTTTTTTCTTTTAATCCGTAGTTTTCGATAAATCCGTGGTGGGAACTTGTCAAATGAACACCCTGTATATTAGGACAAAATCTTAGTACTCTTTTTTTTGTTCAGATGTCGCCCGCAAATATATCAGTGTAATGTGTATATGTAGTGACGCAGCCCAGCGTGGGAAGTGGGGGATGTCATGGTAATAAAACTCAATACTTAGAAGAAAATTGCGTATTTATTTATGTACAATAAATTCCTGAGCAAAACAATTGCATTGTCTAGGTATATTATATATAAACATTATATAATAAACTGTATATATAAACCCTAAACACAACTAGTCACAATTAAATTTAAATACTACAACTATATAATAAAAAGTCTGCCAAAAAACAGATGACACAAAAATATAATGTAAATAAGAGTACCATATTTCCCTATATAGCCATGTGGCCCAAAAATGTATCCAAACAAATAGGCGCACTTCTCAAAATTTCAGTTGCTGTATATGGTCCTTGTGCTACTAAGGATCATAGAGTGAATATATGGATACCCTTTAACTTGTAAGTACACGTCACAATGCGTTCAAAAGAATCCAAAAATACTGGGGGCTAACTGTAATGTGACTTTGTATTTGCATGATATATAGATCGATATAAAACCAAAAGTGGGCACTTAAAAGGGCGCTATAATCGTTGAGGCACAACGGTGTTTCAGGCGGTTTTAAGTTACTGCAAATTTTATGAAAAGAGACAGTCAACAATATTTTTAGATAATTATTTGTAAGAAGCAGAGCAGATTATTAAAAGAAATTTGGAAATAAAATGTTGGATTGTATTTACCCCGAATCGAAATTCGACAACTTATTTTTCGAAAACTTAACAATGGCCTCATGAAAATCGTAAATCCAACATCTTATTTTAAACGAGTCTATCCACCCCAGAAACAGCTTTCCACTAAATTGGATAGCATCATTGTTTAAAGTATTCTACCTAAAAGAGGCCAACCATCTTGCAAAAATGGTTCTGAAAGATACCAAGCAGTAACAGAACAACGCACTCTCTTTTCAAAGTAGATTTCAAAACGTGTTCTGTACTGTCTCATAGATTGCATTAGTATCTTACAGAACCCTTTTGGACGCCGGAATAAAGCATATGGTTGGTGATCTTCAGGTAGAATTCGTTAGTTCATGATAACAGGCATTGAATTGAAATGACGTCCTCTTAAGGCCTATACAGGGCGACACAACAAGCATGTACTAGAAATAAAGTAATATTAATTTTTTATAAGTGCTGTTATTCATATTTTATTATAAACTTAGGATAGGAACTGACACTTGCACGCTATGTAATCTTTTGATATGGTAAGTATAAGATAAGGTGCGATATTTTGATTATCAGGTTTCTGTAGAGTAAAAGTAGTAATCTATTAATAGCTTTGTTATTATAAATTCATGCAGTAGTATGGAGACTAATCTGTTTGAATCAGTTAACTAGACAAAGCAACTAATGCAAGCGAGAAAGATTAAAAATTAATGTAATATAAAATATGGAGGATGGTTTAATTGAATAGTTTCTATATTCTTGTGACTAAATCTACGTAAAACAAATCAAATCTATAGCTTTGATTCAAAATAGATTGCAAGTACATAATACTAGAAAAAACAGTTTTATATATTCGATTTGGTGATAGAATAAGTTTTGTGTGTTGACTTCATTTCACAATATTGGTGGAAGCTTTGAAGGTAGGAGTTTGAAAAAAAAAGATATGAACTCTTTATTTCTTTAAAGCAGGAGATGCTACCGAAATATTCGAATATTCGGGTACCGGACCTCATTTTGAAAAAATAATTTACGTAGGGAAAGAGTGACTTTCAATGTTCTAAGGCCTAGAAGGATTAAGAATAGCTCCGAAACGCGTGTCACTTGCTCATTACATGTACACCACTCATACATTATTTTATCCGTCTATCACCCTGTATATATTCTACTATAAGCCTAAATCGGGAACTAGGAATGCAGAATCACAACCCGATCACTACCTGAAGTAAAATTGCGTGTGGTGAGTCACTAGGGTAAGGTGCTGAATAGTGAACGAAACTCCTTGAATTTTAGCGAACAGCGAGTTTTGCTCAGATCTCGCTGGTGTGGCATGGTTGTACATTGGCAAATCTGTAACGAAAATGTAGTTGAGGCAATATAAAATCAAAAACCATATTTAAAATATACCTGATTTAATGAGTATAGTGACATTTGTGTCAATACAATACCGTTTTAAATTCGTTATCTTCGGTATTCAAGAAACGGATTTTCTCTGCGATTGCGGATACGCAGAATTCTTTTCAAAACTGAAGTATTGTGTGTGTTTATAAATTTTAATAGTCATAGACATAAGCATAAAAGTTGAAATACGTACTTTTTATGAACGCATTTATACAACTTGTTACAGTGACAGTCATAGTCATCAGGCGATTACCTTGAAGTTCCCAACTTTCAACTCTTAGGCTCAGTGGCGTAGCTACGTTGTGTGGCACCCGGTGCGGAAGTTAGTGGTGTCACACCACCGAAAGTCAAAAGTAATAAATTTTACATGATTTATAAACGTCATTGATCATTTAATATTTATATTTAGAGTGACAAGCCGATCTCTGCCGCTGAGCTGGAAAAAAGAAGACTAGCGACGACTTCTTCTCTGACAAGAGACCTGGAGGCTATCACTGCTTGGGGACGCAACAATCTTGTACAGTTCAATGCTTCCAAAACACAGTACTGTACTTTGACGAACAAAAAGCGTCCTAGCGCTCATACAGTTTCGATGGACGGTCGAGTCCTACCAAAGAGCCATTCATTTCGGCTGGTCGGAGTCCAGATCACCGAGGACCTGATCTGGCACGAACACATCTCTTCAATAGCTGCAGCTGCTGGGAAAAAGCTAGGCTATTTGTTTAGGGCTAAGAAGTACTTTTCTCCGCATGACCTTCTCACTCTATACAAGGCCCAGATAAGGCCTAGCCTCGAGTATTGCTCACACATTTGGGGTGCTGCCGCCCCGACTACATTGTCCATGCTCGATGCTGTCCAGAGGAGGGCGGTCCGACTGATCGATGACTCTTCTCTAACAGATAGTCTCGGGACTCTTTCGCACCGGCGGGCCGTCGGCGATCTAGCTCTTTTCTATCGCTACACCAACGGGCTTTGCTCCTCAGAGCTCTATTCCATGATGCCGCCGCGCGATGTGCCTGCCAGACAGACCCGCCTGACTTCGGCGTCCCATCCTAACCGTGTCAAACTTCGTACATCCAGAATTGGCCGATACGACCGCTCCTTTGTCCCGAGGGTGTCTAGATTGTGGAACAAACTACGGGAGGAAGCTTTTCCCAGTTTTACTAACCTTAGGCAGTTCAAAAATCGTATTAACAAAATTTCTTTGGGATCATCATAGCAGCCGCGGTGTTCCGGCATTTAGGCTTCTGCCTGCGCGGCTGTTTCGATATAAAAAAAAAAAAAAAAAAAAAATATCGAACAAATAACAAAACACAATAAAAACTAAGACTGAAAAAATATTTGTCCCCCATGCTACGCCATTGAAACGTCATTTTACCAAGTCTAGGTATCGCAACTGTCAGTTTTGTGTCGGTTTACAATATTCATTGGTTTGAGGCTATTTCCACTATCCCACTTTGTTTTTGATTTTCGCCAAAATGCCGTTTTCGCCATTTGCTCATTTTTTTTTGTTTCTACCGTTGTTAAAATAGACCAACAATGGAAAGTCAGGAGGCTGTCATATGTCAAAACCAAAAATAGAAAACTGCTTATGACTATCAGTGAGTCAGTTGTACAGGGTGGCCAATATATAACTGATTGATTTAAATTGCGCGCCATTTTTGATACACACATTTCAGTAGGTGGCGCCGTAGTAGTTGTTTAAAGCACATGTGTCAATTGATCATGGAGTGCTACACGATCCCACAACGCGTCCGTATTGTCAAAACGTTTTACTTAAGTAATGAGTCGATTGTTGCAACGATTCGGAAGCTATCTTAAGATTTCGGTCGAAATAATGTGCCCAGTGTCAACACCATTCGTCAGTTGATGAGGAAATTTGAACAAAAGGTGAAGTTGAAAACTTGCCAAGGTCGGGCCGTGTTCGCACTGTTCGTACTCCGGAAAATTTCGAGAGACTTCGTGAAAGTGTATGGGAGCGCCCTGAGAGATCTACTAGACATTGTTCTCAAGAACTTGGTATTCGTCGCAAGTATTTTAAAAAAAGACTTGCATTTGCGGCCATACAAAATTCAGTTAACCCAAGAACTACAGCCTAGTGACCATGACAGTCGCCGACAATACACTCATGCAATATAGCAGCATAATTCCCAAAATAACGATTTTTACCGACAACTGATAAAATGAGCGATGTGAGCTCACTTCGATATCAACGGATTTGTTAGTAAGCAGAATTTTCGTATAAGGGGCATTAGAGAACCCTCGTGTCATCCATCAACGACCACTGCATCCTCGTCAAGTCACAGTTTGTTGTGGTGTTTGGTGTAGAGGTGTCATTGGACATTACTTCTTGTGTCAACTGAACACCAAGGTCACCGTATTGAACGGCTCCTGACTTTTTTCATGGGGATTTTTTAAAAATAGGGTTTATGCCAACACACAAATACTGTAAAGCAGCTGGAGAACAATATTACGGAAACAATTGAAAATATTCCTCCCGAAACCTACCAAAAAGTGATGGAAAATATAATCAAGAAGGCTCAGGTTTGCGCGGCTATTAGAGGCAGACATTTATCTGATATTATTTTTCATACATACTTTCTAAGTTTCAATAAAATATTAAAATGACGTATTTTATTTCATTTCACAAATATTCAAGATAAAAACAGTCAGTTATATATCGGCCACCGTGTATAAACAGCTTATGCCTATTAAAATATTGTATAAACCCGTCATTAGTCTAAGCTCAAAGGACACTCGCTACCCTAGGTCATTACGGATGTGTATAAAAATTACATCCGAGAGAGGCTGGTAATGGTGGTAATTCAGAACACCAATGTCTGACGAACATATTTTGTTAACAAGACCCTCAATTGATTATTCAAGAATTCCAAAATTGACGTAATGTTGACCCACATTTCAACCAAAAATTGTCTGGTAAGAATGGGATTATGCATTGTTGCCGCAGTTACCTCGGACCTGTCAGTTGTGAAGGAAGTATATACAGCGTGTTATTTATTCATCTGAAAAGGACGGTTTCTATATTGTTGGGAACACGTATTTGAAAGAAGTGTATGCTCCGCAACACGACTGCTGCAATTTATCAGAGTTTGTAAGACAGATTGGTGAGTATTGTTTGGCATAAGTTTGGAAGGGGGATTCCCTGAAAATCTTAACATGAATGCGGATCCGCACCACCCGAGTACCTCTCGGTGCCTACCTGAAACGGAAAAGTGTAAACAAAATTGTTTTTGGTTGAAACGTATGAGTCCTTAGCAAATAAGTTTAAGAGCCAGCTACATTAAACCTCAAGGTATCGGGAATATCGGCTGGGCATACTCTGTTGCAAAGTTTCTCAATTAATTATTGAAAAATTTTAAATGTCAGAAAAAATACCAAGATATGTTAGTAAAAATTGCATGGGATTGGGGATTGTAGCTCACGGTTTATAGCAATAACAATTAATTTTTTAAATGAAGATCAGACTTTCAAAAACAAAAATAAACATTTCGAGCGGGGAATTGCAAGTGCAATGAATTTTCCCATCCGGTATATTTATTTTTGTTTTTGAGAGTAAAAGTTTAATTAAAAAAATAATCGTTAACATTCAGTATGACGTCCGCGCAACTGTTATAAACAGATTCTTTGCAACCATCCCGACAAGGATTTGGAAAAGCTAACAATCCCATATAATTTTGATTATCATTACTTTACTAAATGCAAAATTCCCATTTCAGTCTTCTGTTGGAACAAGGGAACCAGACTCGGAACACTAAGGTTATTGGGAACGCTGATTCCGAATATGGCAAACAAAAAATGATAAATGTGTTATAAATCCCTGTTTAGAGTGAAAAAATGAGGTTTCTTGGCCTTCCGTCCATCTCAGCAAAGAACTGACATCAGATCCGTGATCTACGTAGGTGCCGCATTTCCCTGAGGTATGGAATTTTGTAAAACTATTTGTTTTTTATTAATATCTTAAAGATCCTTCTGCACATTTTGCTGAATTTTAGAAGTGAATTTACTGGTAAGTGAGTCCTAACTATTATAATCAATTCCAGTGGTGTCTCGGAGAACAGTCTTACAAATAGTATTGACAAAAAAATTTACGCAAATGACATTTTTAAAATGTAAGGAAATATGAGAAAACATTTACAAAAAATGTTGGAAATGACCACCTACCGCTTCTACCGGGTCTTCTGCTCTCATATAAATAATTTTTGACATGTAATGAAGTTGTTTTTTATTTTTTCCTCCTCGAAAATGAAGTAAGATACGAAGTGATGTCAAGACACAAAAAAGTTTCATCATTAGTAGCTTAACCCAAAAAAAAACATGTATTTTTTAATGGCAGTGGCTTATATCCCTTTGTTAATATTATTTATGGAACTGCCCCCCGAGACGCAACTGGAATTCATAATTTTCTTCTACGTAGTGCTAACTTAGCGTCTTCTTGCAATGAACTGCCAAAATTCATCAAAATGGGCACAAGGATCTTTGAGATAGAGAAAAAAAAGTTTATAAAATTTTGTACACCCTGAAATCCAGACTTTTTGGGATACATGTTTATATGCACTCAAATTTGGTTCAGGAATGCGCCGTTGTGATTACATTAACTTCATCCTATACGAGTACACTAGTTTGAACCACACCCCTTGAGATCCCGAAAACGGTAACATAGACGAAGTCGCTTAAATGGAGGAAAAGTTGCGTATTTATGGTCAATCGTTCCTACAATTGTAGGACGCCTTTATCGCCTCCTTGATTTCCATATTATCTTGCATTTCAGTAAGGAACATGTGTTTAGATTTCTTCGCTGCTGCCAATAATTGTGATGTTAGGTTATGTTTGTTTTGACGTTTAGGAAATTTTAGACAGATGAAATCAAATGCCGAAGCATATTTTCTTGCAAATAGTGTTGATCAGTCAATAATAATTCCCTACATTGAACAAATTCGCCAAGCTGTGGTATCTTCAAATCAAGTATCTGGTATTAATGATCTAAAATGAACAATTTAATGGAAATGGATGTGTATTTATAGCTTAAAAGCTCACAACGAAGCTGTTCCTTGGTAGGTAACTTACAAAATTAATCATTCCATATTCATATTTACATACTTAAAGCATTTTTTCAGATGTGGTTCATTCTCACAGACTTTACGAGATGTTGGATAAAAAACATTGTTTCCCAAGTTTTCACAAATCACTGTTGGACTTTAGATTGTGTAGAGTGTCAGGCTATAATTATGTATAATGTGTAAATGCTCAGAAATTGAATTTAAACGTGCCCTGCCCTATCTATATTTTTTATATTAGTATAAATCTTGACCTAAAAATTTGAGACTATAACTCTAAAAATTATTGTTATTTAAACAAACAATTGATGAGCGTGATTCTCTATCCGAAGTTGAACGCCAATCAAAGAGAGTTAATCCCGTTAGATATTCTTGGATTTGACTCTGGACAGTCCACCTCTCCACCTGCCAACTACCCTCTCACCCAAGAGATGCCAACTCCAAGTGTTCGACATGAAGAACACTGAATCATATTAGAACAGTAAAAATTAGGTAAATAAAAATGGGCCTTGGACCTCAAGGAGGCACCAAGTGTGACTGCAATATCCTGCCCAAATTTCCATGCCACCTGCAACCCAGACGTCTTATGGCTCAATAAGCAAGAAGCATCGGACGTAGCCCATTACTGGGCAGACAAGCTTTAATTTCCGGACACGAAAGCTATGATATGCTTACCTATCATCACTCTGGCGGTCCGCCGCGATCCCCTCTCATCTGTCACATCATCGGCGTCCCCCGTACATTCTCCAGCAGTAATTCACCCCGCCGGACCGCCTAAGCCCGCCCATCGCATGAAATCGGGCAGCTCTCGAACGGGCACGTCGCGAGCATGCGCCTTTACGCGTAGATTCCTGTCTTCGGTCAGCAGCACCACCTCGCGGTACAGTCGGCGAGGCTCACCTGGCGTTATTGAAGGTGGTTGGCAGCCAGATGTTGAGGCTGGAAGGGAAGGTCAAGCTAAATGCAACGGATGCAATGTTGTCAAAATTGTCACTTTAACGTCTTTGCCGGCGATTAACGTTAATGGCCTTAGAGCCCATTTCACCATCATTAATATTTGACCGTCAGTTTGGACCAACGGGAAAATACTTGATGGAAATGCAATTTGACGGAAGCTGTCAAAGCTATCTGAATATCAGTGATTTCTATTGAAATATTGAATAAAATCGTGAAAAAGCGTTGAGAAACTGAAAAGAAGTGTATGAATGTGCTGAAACGCAACACCTAACAAAAATTTGAGTGGAAGGTTTTGGAAGTGCAAGTTTGCAAATATAGGATAAACTATAAACACACGGTAGGTGATGTTGAGTTACTATAATCACATATGGATTACAATAATTGCAATAAACATGGATAAACCTTCAGCTAAACTAAAAAAAATTGGACTTAACTCAGACATCAAGCATTCTTTTTAGATTTTGGCTCAATTTTATATAATTTTATAATATTTAATAAACTGATAACAGTTCAATGACAAGCTATCACTCTCTAGTTTATTCGCGTTGTCTAACCTGTCTTCTTTTGGTTCAACTACTCTTTGGTCAAGGCGCACTAAAATTGTAATCCCTAATCAGATTTCACGAAAACTACCAACTCTTACCAATATTACATCTACATTTATACCAAGGGAAATGGAAAAAAGAACAAATGACCCACCTTCCTGGGCCGATTCATGTCGATTTTTCCCAAGCAGCAAACACGTGGTGAGGATCTTGTCATCGTTCCTGAAGTCGGCGCTCCACTGCGCGTCATCTTCCGTGTAGAAGTTGGTAGACGGAAGTACGGCGCCCTTGGTGGTGATACACTTGACGGTGGAATGGCGAGTTTTGAGGAAATCCAAGGCTTCCTTGGCGAACTGGGCTACTTTAAGGACGTGCTGTGGGTCGGGGGATTGACGTTTGGTACCACCCGTCTCAGTAGGGGTGGCAGTGGTTGGACGGGTGCCGCGAGACAGACCTTCCAGTTCGTTTAGCACTGAAAATTAACGGTTGAATTATATTTCAAAAATTATCCACACGAATATAAAAACCGAACACCCAGAAAACTTTGCATATTTAAAAAAAGTGTCTATAATGCAGTTTAATACGGCACACTAAACAAGCTCTGCTTTTGTCCGTCCGACCAAAGACAGCTGTTTCGTGCTTTTTGGCTACTCCTCAGCAGGGTGTAGGCTTGGGTCTCTCGGACAACGAACAGCTACAGTGGGACTAAAGTTTGAAAAATTCATAGTAAAAAAATCCACCAAGCGTCTCTGCACTGTTCTGACAGAAAGAGTCTCGGCACCCTCTCCTACGATTATTTTGAAAATCTGTGTGGCTGTCATTCGAGGATCTTCATAGGACAAACGTTTAATGTAACGATCCAAAAACGGATTTTTTTTTTCGGTCTTCCGTACTAGGACCGCGTTGCTGTTAGTCCGTATTCTTGTTATTCACTAATAATTTTCAAAATCGTCCCTTTATTCACTTTAATCTATGACAAATGTCAACATTTCTGACACCACTTCTAAATAATTCTATTACAAAAACTGTGGTATTTAAAAAACACGTGGTTGTATTTTCAGAGAATTTGAATATTAATAAAATAAACCTTGTATTAGTACAGGAGACGAAGGTAGACTTTAATATTTATATTATCTGTTCCTTCACAATTTTAATTTAGGTATATGAAATAGTTCATAAGAATAAGCAATACATTCTATAGTATAGATCGTTGTGGACGTGGACTAGCGACAACCCAGAACACATTATTTTAAATAATGCTGGTTGGGATTATTATACAGGGTGACTTTGAAGTTGAGTCATTAATTTTCAGATAATGATTGTAGAAGGAAGATAAACCAAAATATGTGTGTAAAAATAAAAAAAAATTAAAAAAAAAATGTTACATTGTTTTATAAGGTATCCTCGCGACAAGTATTTCAGTGCGGACCTGTATTTGATCGTGCGGTCTTGGAGCACCGGCATGCCCTCCCCTGTGAGGTCTTAAGTCACCTGATTCACGAGACCTTTGTACTACATTAACAAAGGCACGAGGGGTTGGTTGCACTCGATTGGGAAACCGATTCGCACAAATCTGTGATGCCGCGGCAGCATTTTGTAAAGACCCCCCCCCCCCCCCACCCCAATAAGAATCATGTCCACAAGTTCAGCATTTTCGTAAACATGTGCCATTTTTCATTTCGTTTGAGTCACGCAACAAACCGATGAACCGATAAGGCGGATTATATCCGTTGTTGCCAAACACGGGCACATAATATTATTATTGAGACAGGGCGGTACTCAAACTTCTAAAGGGCTATAACTTTGTTACTTTAATTTTACCAGAAAAATGTTAAAGGAAAAAAACATTTCTTTTGATCAGATCTACTCACTGTTAAAATAAATGACTCAACTTCGAAGTCATGGAACTATACAAGAACATGTAAACTTGACCAGCACACATTTTTATGAAAGTGCATTTTGAAATCTTGAATTCGCTACGAATCTGCAATTTAAACTAGTGTTTACATATTTATTGACTAAACATTCCGTCAGAGTCAGTGGATGTTATATGATGTTGTTTTCATAAAACTGCTTCGTTGACAGGTTCACAGTGCGCGATTGATTAAGACTTAACATTGATAACCTTATGGTTAAATTCTATCTATAATTTTTTTCAAATAAAAATATGCGTGGCAACCAGTTTTTGTAGATGTTCGGATACTGGATAGACACAAGATACTGTACTATACACTCTGTGCGGAAATACAGTATAGCTACTTACCTATAATGGGCACCATAAGCGTATAACAGTGAGCTTGTGCTATAACTTTTATCCCTTCTAGGTGATCGATGAAGCAGTTTGTGTCCGGAACAAGATACTTCGGCCAAATCTCCATATGTACACTCACTACAGACTGGCTCAGGATTTTCTGAAACAAAAATGTCGTCATGTAGCTACAAATATGTATACTAAGTGACATATAAATCCGAACACCCAGTTCAAATGGTTTTATTTTAATAAAATTTTGTATAAGTACTTAATGAAGCATAATAAGTAAATGATAAAAATTTCAAAATGATTGCACTGCTTTAAAGCCCTTTGACCTTTAATAATGTGTGGATGCACCCTGATGTGCTACGCATTCTCCAACGCGCCTAGGCATGCTTCTGATCAGGTGGTCAATGTCCTCCTGTGGTATCTCATTCCAGGCAACCACCAACTCCTCTCGAAGTGCTTCTAGAGTCTGAGGAGGACGTTGCAAATTGAGCAATCTCCTACCCATCATATCCCACACGTGCTCAATTGGGGATAAGTCGGGAGATCTTGGTGGTTATAGTAACAATGTGACATCATTATGTTGAAAGAAGTCTATTGTGACTCTTGCAACATGTGGTCGGGCATTATCTTGTTGGAAAGTTGGATCTGCCAGGGTGTCAAGATAGGGTAAAAGATGGGGTTCTAGAACTTCGTGGATATAACACTGCGCGTTCATGTTACCTCTGATGAAGATTAAAGGTGACCTGGAACCATAAGCTATAGCACTCCAAACCATAACTCCAACAGTGTGATGAACATGTCTTTCAACAAAAAACTGTGGATTCCTCCTTTCACCACGTCGCCTTCTAACCCTGGCACGACCATCGTGCATGCCTAAACAAAATCGAGACTCGTCACTAAAGACAATACTGTTCCATTCCTGATCCCAGAGAGACCGTTGTCTGCACCACTCAAGGCGATTAAGTCGGTGTTCTCGAGTTAAAGGGAGGACCCAGTGTGGCCGGTATGAAAACAAGCCAAAACTTCTCATTCGTCGGTAAACACTTCGCATGCCAATAGGTCTTCCGTGTTCTGCAAACCATTCATTTGCAATGGACCTGGTAGTGGAGAAACGGTCCCTTAAGGCCAATAATCTTAGGCGGCGATCTTCACGGTCTGTTGTTCTACGGCGGCGTCCAGTGCCCCTTGCTCTTTGCGTACGGCCTTCTCGAAGCCATGCCTGACAACACCTAACCACAGTGTCTACACTTTTTTGCACTCTAACTGCAATTGCCCGAAAAGAAAGTCCAGCTTCCCGAAGTCCCACTATACGACCCCTATCAAACTCACTAAGTTGACGAAATCGTACAGGTCTCCGTACTCTAGACATCGTAACCGATCGTAAAGGATGTCAAGAACCAAAATCCGCCAACGTTGATTCTTTACTGCGGCTGAAATATTCATTTTTAGAGCGTTAGTGAATTAAAAAAAAGCAGTATAAAAACTGGAATGTCCAACTGATAAGGCTGAAAATTTTTTCACTTGTTATTTACAGTAAGATAAATACATTCACCAACTTTTATTAAAATAAAACCATTTAAACTGGGGGTTCGGATTTATATGTCACTTAGTATATAATAAAAATAAATAAGTAAATAAATGACTCAAGCAAGCCTATACAATCAGTATACCGATGCCAAAAAATAAGATATTCTCTCCCTCATGCCCTGCAAATCAAAACAACCATTTTTTGACGCTAGCTCGGCCGCTACTGGACCTTACCATAGTAATAGCCTTGTGTGAAAATTTAATCAAAATCGGGGCGGACAGACGGAAATGAGCCACATCGTTTTTCGTCAGGCTCATGTCATATAACATTTTTGAAATTTTTCGCGATCGCAATACTTCCTGGGCAGTTGCGTGGGAAGTAAAAATATACACAAGCCCTTCGGGAATTACATACAAAAAGAATTGAGTGCGCACCGTCAGCGACTAGATTCGAAATTACTCGCCCTACCACTTATTAACGCACCTGAAGAAATATTGTTGTAGAACATTTTTCATGGACGGTGAAGTAGAACATATAAATGCATGTCCGGCAGGATAATTAGAGAATGTCCATACACAAAGATGAGAAATATACCTGGGTATAATGGAAGAAATGGAACTATGAAAGTGATAAATGCAGAATTACAAATACCCTACAGTACTTTGAGATAAATGAGATGCAAGTCGATTTCACATGTTCTATTCTATTCTGGAGCGCTATGAACCAAGGTGAGGAATATAAGTATCCAGTAATATATTTTCCTCATAATCCTCGGAATATGCTTTAGCAGAGATGACCTCTCTAGACCCCTCAAATGATATTTGAAATGCAATTCGTCATATCCTCAAGAGATCGGTCTTGGCTCCAACACCGTTTCTCTTTCATATAATAGAGCAATATTAACCAGTCGTGTTAGCAGAATCAACAGTAAAGTTCCCAGCTCTTCTAACAGGGGTATTAACTATAGGCATATATTATTGACACCATCAAATGCAATGGATCATAAAAGCAACCACAAATTTCAGCAGTTTAAAAATAATTATCCGATTATAATTCTGAAACTATGCTAAGCTGTAATTGAATTGAATCCAGAGTACGTCTGTGGGTGTCACTGTCCATACCTCCACTCACCTTGAGGCGAGTTTTTCAAGTCGAACATTAAATTGTCAAAGCGACAAATTTACGCGGCGGAGCAGGTCTGATATCGCGAACGGGCGAATTTTTCAAAGTGGAATCGAGGATCACGTAGCCAGAGGGGATCGTCTTGGAACGTTTATAGCCACTTAAAATGTTATAAAGTATATTTACATATATATTGTATTATTGTTTTTGATCGTAACTATCATGTCACGTCGTATTCAAAGCCAATCTTCTGCTGTGATTAATCTTCATATCGAATGGCTATTGAAAGGTGGGATGGCACCAAGATGATAGAACGAGTAACAGTCATGTAGAAGATCAATTGCATGGATGTGATTTCAACGTGAACAACATGCCAGAGATTAAAGAGAGCAGAAAACACTGGACTACTATACATCAACGTAGTTTCTATGGTATTTCGATGAGAAGCGTCTGATGAAAACACTGACAAATTACTCTTTCTAACTACAAAAATAGATTTGAAAAAATCTGCAGATTACACATATACAAGTGGCTGTGTATATATTCAAATTTTACAAGATATGTTGCCCTGCACTCCTTCATGTAAGCAAGGCATAACACGTACTTCATCCTTCTTGTGACATGAAGTTTTTTTCAGCTTTCAGCTCCCCCTTTCTTTTTGCATGTGATCAATGGACGACCTCTATTCCGTGTACGATCACAGTAAACCTACCACAAGGTATGTTGGTACTGAGCCAGTAGCAACATATACGTAAATCTTCATTATGCGAATATACTGACAAAAACTGAGCAATTAATAAACCTGGCGTTAAATACACAGAGCACTCGCGGCGGACAGGCATTAGCTTTGTAAAAGAAGGTATAAAGTAAAACTTCCTATTCTCATTTAATCAGCAGCATTGCTCACATCCACACACATTAATTAGTTGAAATGCAGCCTTAGCAAAGAGGAGAGATATCGTGCGAAAGGATAACGCTCCATGCTGCTTAATTAACGGCGTTACTCTGGGATCTGATATCATCGAGGGTTCTTTTTATATCCCTTTTCCTTTCTTGCCTCTGCTGCTACCATAGTGCGCTGACCTTTGTCTCATTTGCCCTATCTCTAGCGAGTTTGGCTATTACCAGCTCTTCAGACTGCATGAGATTTTCGCAAAAATTAGCTCAGATTTACAGAATAAATCAAATATTTCTGTGAGGGGATAGCCGGGAAAATGTCTTGACATCGTGAACAAAGGACCACTTAAAAGGCTAAGGATGAAATAAAAACAAGATACCCAAAACGAATCAAATCAAATCAAGTGCAATAAATATTGAAATATGTCATAACATAGTTTTTTTCACGGTTTTTGGCGATTATGTGGTTACGTCACAATATTAAAAATAAATTAAGTAAGATTGAATAACTATCATATTAACCTCCCTTAGGGGAATTCCACACTACACAAGCCGAACCTCAACCCAGCCTCTACTCGCTTTTGAATTGGGTGATACACCGTTGTTAAATAAATTTAACACAGACTCGACATTATAGTTGTATCTTCAGGAATTGCTATGTTTTTTATCGAAGATCAACATAAGGTAAGCTCGCACGCCCATGTTAAGCAAATTGTCATACTGCCAACGACAAGCGCAATTGTAGAGAACTCACGTTGACGAGGAAGTGTTCAAGGTGGAGAGACAAAACTAAAAAAAAAACTTATATCTATGAGCTTAGACAAACGTATGCGCATGGATGCCGATTGAATGTAATGTATGCGTGATTTATGTATGAAAATAATTCCTGAAGTTTTATCGTGACCAGCCAGAACGCATGAAAAGACATTAGACCGCCATCCGTCAATCAAAAAATTACTGACTGCTTATCAGCTAATAATATTTTCAGATTCGCGTTTATTATTGAATGATTTAAAACAGTGTACAGAATTCTCATCTCACGCAGGAACCTGGACCTTTATACAGAAATAATCCAAAACATGCTGAAATCTGTAGAGTGCACTGGCAGTTGCAAAAATTCGCGTGAGCTGCGCGTGCGGGTGCGTTGACCTTCACAATTCAACCGCAACAAAGCAGGAGCCAAGAAGAGAAGACTACTCGCGGACACAAGCAGGCACAGTGTGGGACCGGCCAAACCGCGCATTAAGATCATGTTAAACCAGCGGCCAACTCCTTTCCAAATTGAGAAATTATCCCGGGTCAAAAAATTGCGTCAGGTACTTTGATTCTATGCGCACTTCCAGCACAATGCTGTTATTATCAAAGATCAGGAGCCTCTGAAACGTCAAAAAACGAAGTATGAGCGTTTTTTATTTTTGTGTCCTTAGCTCTGCCGCCACTGGGCCCATTATCAAAAACTATAAGGCTTTTTCGTCCTTTATATAGTAGTAACCTTGTATGAAAATTTCATCAAAATCCGAGAAGTAGTTTTCAAGTTATTTCTGCTCTTCAGTCAACAGGTGGGGTATCCAAACGAGAAACTAATTTTCTTACTCCTAATTCTT